ATCTTTTCCAGTACTTTTTGGACACAGGTAGCTGGATTTGGGGGTGTCTGTAATGAGGCAGCCTCACCCATGTCTATTCTAATTGGGACAACAATATCACTGGCCGCAGTGGTCATTTATTTTTTGGCGCTCCAGTTCAGAAATTACAAAAGTTGCTACAAGTAAAAAATGCAACCATGGAATGCTGGTAAAACTGACAATGCATTCGCCCCCACAAAAGGAAACAAACACATATGTTCAGTTTCACCAACAAAAAAAAACGACTTGAGGAGGTCGAGGTGCAGGTGTCAAAAATAGAATCCAAGGGGCTGGTTTGTTTTTTTTTGCCGAATACTTGCGGATGATTTTGAAAGGTTGGCCCCACCAGAAAAATGTCGCCTCACCAGGCCGATTCTAAGCTTTGATTAGGCCACAACGTAGGCCTTCATCCATAGATAAGATATGATAGGACAAAGTTAAAAATATTGTATCAACGCGCGCCCAAGTTGCAAAACAGGTGTTTCCTTGCTGAAGATACACTTGTCCCTGCAAAAGTGTACAAACACATATGTTCAGTTTCACCAACAAAAAAAGTGACCTGGAGAGATTTGAAGAGGTCGAGGCGCAGGTGTCAAAAATAAAATCCAAGGGGCTGGACTTTTTTTGGCCGAATATTTGCGGATGATCTTCAAAGGTTGGCCCCACAGGAAAGAAGTCGCATCACCAGGCCAATCCTCAGCTTTTGATTAAGCCACAAGTAGACCTTCATCCATAGATAGGACGTGATAGGACAAATTCGAGAATTTTCGGCCAACCGGCGCCCAAATTGCAAAGCACGTGATTTTTGCTGAAGATACATTTGTCCCTGCAAAAGGACCAACAAAAAAGTGAGCTGGAAACGTTTGGATCCGCGATTTAGGAAGTTCCAGGCGCGGGTTATTTACTAAAGTTGTGATCCTTGCAACTCAGAAAATTAGGCTAGCAACAGCACATGTTAGGGGTGGTTATCTGAGCGTTGTATGAGGTTTGGCGCCCAGGAATTTATTGAAGGAGAACAAAATCCTTCTTGGAAACATTAGGCATCAGGACGTTAGTGCCTGCAAGTTTTATTCGTATTAGAATGTAAATCCTAGTTGGAAAGGTCAGGGTACCAGGATTTTAATGGTCAGAAATGCTAGGACCCACAAATTTAATCCAGTTATTTTCTAGGACAGGACCTTCCAGGGCACACCAGATGAGGATCTTTTGTTCAAGTTGGAAAAAATAGCCGCAGAGAATTAGATTGCAATATGATGCACTATTAAACATTATTATATACTTTTGCAGGTTTTGGCATGCTCTTGAGGGTTATTTGTGCGCTTGTGCAGGTAATTGTGGAACCACGCCTGAGCAGTGGGTCAGGTAAGCAGGGAAATCATTATACATGGATGGTGCCCTCAACATATCGAAACCATAGGCAATGTTGCGCATTCATATCTAAGAGATGATCAAATATCCCCCCATTACAGTACACACTTGATATTTGAATGCTCTATCCAGATGGCGCCATCTGCTTTGCTTCCGAAAGTCGGGCATTGTTTGTGCGGACCTGCGTTCAAAGTTTCAACACTTCACAGTTTGTCGCATTTTGGGGTCCAGGTACTGAATAACGTAAAATGTCCAAATTGTTGTGTTTTTGAAATATGGGATTGGACGTTCTTGTTTTTCTCCTTCATTCCTAGGAACGGAGATGAGGAAATTATTTCGAGCCACCCCCACCGCGACATTATTTTTCCATAGTTTCTGACATTTCATCTGGAAGTATATGGCATGCATTTTCTAACATTCTATTGTGGCATTCCATCTGGCATCTATTCTGACATCCTATTTGGCATTCTTTCTGGCATCTGTTCTGGTATTTTCTTTGGGATTCGATTGTGGCATTCTATCTCGAATTTTGTTCTAACATTTTATTGGGCATTTTCCCTAGCATTTTGTCTATTTTATCAGGCAGTCTCCCTGGCATGTGTTCGAGCCCAAGGCGACTCCACAGCCTCCTGACCTGGCGATGTGGCACCGGGTCCAAGCCACGGCATGCCACGGCCTCCCGACCTCGCAAAATGCCCGTTGAGATCTGGAGCTCGCGGTTGAGGTCCGGCAGTGCCCACTGCGATCTGGAACTCGCTGCTAGGAGGAGGACGAGGAAGAGGAGAGGAGGAATGAATGCATGTTCGCAAAGAGGTTTTCAAGACACCCAACTACATAACAGAGGTGCCCGAAGCGTGTAACGGTTTTCTTGGGGCGCAAAAATCATTGCAACACTGTTGGCAAATGAAATTCGAGTAGCTCCAGAAACCAAAACACGCAGGTGCACCCTTTCTTGCAAGTAGTTGTGAGTTTTGTATTTGGATATGTTTGCAACAAAGAGATGCTGATGATTGAATGCCTAAACCAACCTCTCGGTTGGTTTTGGTTGACTTGTTGTGGATGCTTTATTATTTGTCATCCGCCGAACCATTCTTGGATGGGCCAGTAGTCTCCAACGCGTTGTGGTGACTTTTGCCTGCGTTTTGTTTTTGCAGGTGGGGTGGTCGGATATGTGGAATCAGATGTTTGGACGTTGGATATGATTGGACGGAGGTTGCTAAGCTGCCGGCTGCCACCCGCATTTAGGCAGGCATGTCGATGCTTGTGAACCCCGAAGCCCAGCTCCTTCAAGAGGTGATGCTCAAAGACCAAAGGCGCAGTTTTGAAATGTGATACAATCTGTTTGATGGTCGATGATGTCGAAATTGTTTTGTCGTGAAGTGTTTGATGTGCCAGGGCGTTTGCATTCAAAATGCTCATGCTTCGTAGGGTTTGTTCCTCAATTTCCTTTGTCTTATGATTCCTTCCCGGTTTGTGACATTGAGTCCGGTTTGAAGTGGAAGGAAGGCTGCAATTTTTTAAATGGTGTCCTTTTAATCCATCCATGTTGTTGACAGTGTCAGCAGATGTAATTACATTACATGAAATCATATTCAGTCAATGGTTTCAAAAACAAACCGAGGCAAAATCGAATCCTTCACTGGTTGGAGCTGGGTCACAATCTCTTGCGAGGCTTGGTGGCCTTGTCCTATTGTAGTGACGGCAATTCAGCCCTTGGAACTTGCAGGACGAAAACAAGCAATCCAGGAGTAGCTGCAAGTGGTTCTCCAGCCTGCGCCTTAGCAACTGCGAGGTTGATCCTGGGTTGGTATTGTTGTCGGCCTGGGTTGGTTGTTTAAATCTGCCTCAGGCTGTGCCACGACATGGGCAAGTTGCGCAGTCTGAAACTCATAGATGCGAACCCATTCCTACCTCTGCCCACCATTTCCTACAATGAGGCCCAAGTGCTCTCCTCCACAACGAGGCACCATTGGTCCAATCAACTCCAATCGTCCCATTTTCAAAAGTCTTGTGATTATATAAATATATATATACATATGTTTTCAAATGCACGCGCAGACACACACACACACACGTGTATATAAATAAGTCAATAGAAAAATAGATAGATAGATAGATAGATAGATAGATAGATAGATAGATAGAAAGATAGATAGATAGATAGATAGATAGATAGATGGGTAGATAGATAGATAGATGGATGGATAGATAGATAGATAGATAGATAGAAGAGATAGATTAGATAGATTAGATTGATTAGATAGAATGGATAGATTAGATAGCTTCGAAAGACTAGATAGATTAGATAGATAGAACAGATAGAACAGATAGAACAGATAGAACAGATAGAACAGATAGAACAGATAGAACAGATAGATAGGTAGATACATAGATAGGTCGATCGATCGATCGATCGATCGATAGATAGATAGATAGATAGATTAGATTAGATTAGATTAGATTAGATTAGATAGATGAGATAGATGAGATAGATGAGATAGATGAGATAGATGAGATAGATGAGATAGATGAGATAGATGAGATAGATGAGATAGATGAGATAGATGAGATAGATGAGATAGATAGATGAGATAGATAGGATGAGATAGATAGGATGAGATAGATAGGATGAGATAGATAGGATGAGATAGATAGGATGAGATAGATAGGATGAGATAGATAGGATGAGATAGATAGGATGAGATAGATAGGATGAGATAGATAGGATGAGATAGATAGGGTGAGATAGATAGGGTGAGATAGATAGGATGAGATAGATAGGATGAGATAGATAGGATGAGATAGATAGGATGAGATAGATAGGATGAGATAGATAGGATGAGATAGATAGGATGAGATAGATAGGATGAGATAGATAGGATGAGATAGATAGGATGAGATAGGATGAGATAGGATGAGATAGGATGAGATAGGATGAGATAGGATGAGATAGGATGAGATAGGATGAGATAGGATGAGATAGGATGAGATAGGATGAGATAGGATTAGATAGGATTAGATAGGATTAGATAGGATTAGATAGGATTAGATAGGATTAGATAGGATTAGATAGGATTAGATAGGATAAGATAGGATAAGATAGGATAAGATAGGATAAGATAGATAGGATAAGATAGGATAATAGGATAAGATAGGATAAGATAGGATAAGATAGGATAAGATAGGATAAGATAGGATAAGATAGGATAAGATAGGATAAGATAGGATAAGATAGGATACGATAGGATAAGATAGGATAAGATAGGATAAAATAGGATAAGATAGGATAAGATAGGATAAGATAGGATAAGATAGGATAAGATAGGATAAGATAGGATAAGATAGGATAAGGTAGGATAAGGTAGGATAAGGTAGGATAAGGTAGGATAAGGTAGGATAAGATAGGATAAGATAGGATAAGATAGGATAAGATAGGATAAGATAGGATAAGATAGGATAAGATAGGATAAGATAGGATAAGATAGGATAAGATAGGATAAGATAGGATAAGATAGGATAAGATAGGATTAGGATAGATTAGATAGGATTAGATAGGATTAGATAGGATTAGATAGGATTAGATAGGATTAGATAGGATAAGATAGGATAAGATAGGATAAGATAGGATAAGATAGGATAAGATAGGATAAGATAGGATAAGATAGGATAAGATAGGATAAGATAGGATAAGATAGGATAGGATAAGATAGGATAAGATAGGATAAGATAGGATAAGATAGGATAAGATAGGATTAGATTAGATTAGATTAGATTAGATTAGTTGGAAAGATAGATAGATAGATAGATAGATAGAACAGATAGAACAGATAGAACAGATAGAACAGATAGATTAATAGATTAGATAGACAAGATAGGTTAGATAGATCAGATAGTTTAGATAGAAAGAAAGATAGATAGATAGATCGATGCATAGATAGATTAGATTAGATTAGATTAGATTAGATTAGAATAGAATAGAATAGAATAGATAGATAGATAGATAGAATAGACTAGACTAGACTAGAATAGACTAGACTAGACTAGAACAGAATAGAATAGAATAGATAGATTAGATAGATTCGATAAACTAGATAGATTAGATAGATTAGATAGATCAGATAGAACAGATAGATTATTAATTCGATAGATGAGATAGGTTAGATAGATTAGATAGATTAGATAGATTTGGTAGATCAGATAGAACAGATAGAACAGATAGAACAGATAGAACAGATAGAACAGATAGATACATAGATAGATCGATAGATAGATAGATAGACAGATAGATAGAAGGTAGGTAGCTAGATAGCTAGATAGATAGATAGATGGATAGATAGATAAACTAGATAGATAAACTAGATAGATTAGATAGATTAGATAGATCAGATAGAACAGATAGAGCATATAGATTAATAGATTAGATAGATAGATAGGTTAGATAGATAGACAGGCAGACAGATAGATAGATGGATAGACGGATAGATAGATAGATAGATAGATAGATAGGTAGATAGATAGATAGATAGAGAGAGATAGATATAGATATAGATTATGGATTTAAATGTAGGTATAGATTTGAGAATTATTTAGATGTATAAATAGATACATAAATAAATAAGTAAATGAAAAAATGAATAAATAAATGAATATGTATATTTATATATATATATATATTTGCGCAGTCTGCGTGAATCTGGGTTTGAGGCGGAGCACAACGCAGCAAGGTTCGGGACACAGCACGAGTCCCAGGAGAAAGTCCCACGTGTTGTGTTTGGGCGATGAGGGGTCTTAAAATAGCATTCTAAGGATCCTCCGGGCTTCCCATCCGGCAGAATTGTGTGGAGCAAAGTGCAGTTTGTAGCGCCGGAGATGACGTACGGTGTGTAAAAACGCAAGTGCATTGGTTGAATCCAGGATCATTTTTCAATGGTGCGAAAGTGAAGCTGAGGTCTACGTCCGCCATCGTCCCAAACCATTTTTCTCAGGCTAGTACGCCTGGCGTGAGTGCAGATTCCGCAGTGAAGCTGTGCATTTGCGCTTCGGATCGGAGTTTATTGCGAGCGCTCTAGACCAAGCTCCCCAAGGGATGTAATGGGCGATATCTCCCAAAGCGGATCCATGGTCGGGATTTGAATTCCTCAGCTCCCAACGTCAAATGAGCGATGCTGCCTTTGATTATCAGATCAGTGCTGCATCAGACCATTGCTTCAACCCTCAAGTTGAGCCTTGAGCAGAGATGAAACACGGCAATGAAATTTCCACGAATGTGCTTGGATTGCTTGGAACAGGATAGAACTGCGGCGCCGGCAGTGGTTCATAAGTTCGCAGCTGTAACTGTCACAAATGTATTTGAAACTCCAATGGTTTGGGGTCGAACAGCCTTTCCTTCTGTTGGGCCAGCTTAGTTAGCTTTGTGCGATTTGACGACTTTTGTTCTCTCTTTCGATTGCCCTTCAAGGGGGTGCATTTGCGACTAGTCACAGAAGGCAACAACCGAACGCCCAACCATAGGTGTTGTCAAACCATTTTTCTTCTATGTCATGCCGAAACAAGTCGAGTGCCCACATAACGGCCTCCTAGTTGCACTATTTTCCTTCCTACTAGCGATGGCATGCATGAAGCTAGAATCCCAGCTTTGAAGTGGGGCGTGGCCGCTTGCGTTTTGCTACCTTTGTCTAGCATGACCTCCTTGTTCCTAAATCCAGTGGAGAGAGTTCAGGGAGGCAGCGCAGAGAACTGCGCAGGTGTGCGGGCATCAATTTCGTTGCCTTCGTGCTGCAGCTGGTGCCACCTCCTGCAACTGCCATTGCGTCATTCTCGCAGCAAATACATATGCGGAGCGGATCATTGTCTATAAACGTTTTCAATGTAATTTTGCGGCTCAAGTGATGACCCACTGGGGCCCAGTTGTGTCTGCAAGCTTAACATAGCTTAACCTATATCACATGTCTTAGCTTCTGATTGGCCAGTTTAATCTTGCCAAAGGAGGTGCCTTGTAAGACCTTTCGCCTCAAGCTATGATGCGTTTGCTGCAGTGCCTGACGGCTGTGACGCTCTGCTTGGGCAATGTTGTCCCAACGATTGAGATCGCCCCGGGAGCCCCTTGCCAAGACTGGGCATGTAATACTCGTACTATATATATATATATAGATACATATGTATACACATCTCTATCTCTATCTATATCTATATCTATATCTATATCTATATCTATATATGTATGTATGTATGCATATCTACAACATACTAATATACATAATTTCTTGATTTTGTGACTATTGTTCCACCTATCAAAGCTTCGCAAGTAAGTGGATTGTTTCTGCCGACCAGGTCAACATGCCAATGGTGGCTTTTGGTTCCTACAATGGATCTCTGACTCGGTGCTCCGTCCAAGAAGGTGTTCAACAATGGCTGCAACTTGGAGGGTCCTGCCCTCGGCATTCCAGCACTGTACATTTCAAAATCAAAATCTGTCAGACCCTCCCCAGATTTACTATTGGTTGGGGCGGGGTGGTGTGGTGGGACTGTAACGTTCACTCACACTTCCACACGTACCTGCGGACCCGCTTACCATGTCAATGGGGGAGTTCTAAGATGTTCTAAGCGACGTTCCTTTGGAGGGTTCTAAGCGACTGCTCATCTTGTGAAATCGGTCTACTCCGGGTATATATGTTTTATGATTTCTTGAGCCCCTCCAGGCATGCTCATTTGGAAGGTTAAATTCGTTGCAACAAGGCTGTGGCCATGAGCATGGGCCGAAAAAGTTATCGGGCATTGCATCATGAGGCGGCACGTGGATACCGCGGACATGTATGAGACGGAGGCAGATGTTGGCGCTGCAATCAGGGGATCCGGTGTGCCGCGCAAGGACGCAGCAGAGTGAAGCCTCTCAATCTTGATCTCATTCTACTATACATATAGGATCATATGGGTTGATTTTATTATGTAAATATCTTACTTTTGTGATCTTAGATAGGCTTTCCATTGAAGCGATTGCTCATTCACAGCCAACTGCCTGCTGGTAGGACATCTTTGTGACGACCAAAGTTCCTGGACCCATTGGAAACCAAGCAGTGCAGCAGATGATTTTGCAGCAGAGCTTACCGAAGAGCTTCGCCTTGAAAGTTCAGGGAGTCATGAACCCTGCTGTATCGTCAGATTCCTGGGTAGGGCTGAGTCATCCGGGTGGTAAAGCCAGCAAGACACAAGTTTCCTTCAAAGACCTTCAAAGCAAGGATCCCGGGTTGAAATGCGCACATCTACACACGCGCAATCATGGAGCTTCAAAACCGGGGTGTGCATTACATACTTGGTGCAAGGATGCTAGTTGCAGGGTGTCAAAAAGATGTTGCTGTTTTAGCATGTGTTCAAGGGCATAAATGGTCTGGAACTGTAAGGCTCGGCTTGGACTATTTGGACCTGGTCCTCATCCACTATCCATGCTTGGCAACTTGTATCGTGAAAACCCGACAGATATTCTACAACATTTGCAACGTTCTGACTTGGGATGTTATGGTTTAACACTCTTCAGCTTCGCCCCTGTCAGCTTGTCAAATTCTTTCGCATTTTGCCACATCTTGTCACATTTCTTCAGCCCAGGCCTTGTCGGACTTTCCCAACAAATGTGGCGCAGCTCTGCAGCGCGAACGATTGGACACCTGGAAAGGACTCATGGAGCTGCGTCGAGCAGGAAAGATCCGCGCGACCAGTCCTTAGTTTCTCATGCTATGACCGAACTAGATGTCCCGCCTCAAACGTGGGCATCCGATGGAGGACTTCACGAGGTACAGTTACCCTGTCCGAACATGAGCGTGCATGTGTCAAGCGGACAACCATGGAAAACTCTTATCACTCAACCAGGGTTGCAATGCCGGCAAAGGCACTCACAAGATCTCACAAGCGCCTTGTCTTAAGACATCTTGGGACCAAGGATTGGCGTGAGCAACTATGATGCAGAGCAAGTCAAAGAGGTGATCGAAGCCTTCAAAGAAGCTCCAGCTGTGAACCAGGCGACGCTCAGCATCGCTCAGCTACCTACTTTACGGGTTTGATAGGCTCAGAGCTGGACCTTGCCCAGAATCATTTCCTTCTGTGAAAAAGTATCTATGACTATGACAAATACGACTGCTGTAAACCATGGCTGCTGTAGACCTTTTTTTTGGAGGTGGAGTGGCATTTGGCTTACCACAACGAAACTCTTCGCAGTGCTTTGCAGAAAGCAGGCGTCACTATCGAGGCATGCCTTTTTTCAGACAAGGGGGGCTATGACAGCTATGAAGATTGAGCAAAGATGGCCTGTGATGATCCATGATGGCTTGAATTTGAGTGTTTATTTATATAGTTTATTTGTTTGTTTCTGTGGAAAACTGTGTTGTTTCTCTGGAATAGTGTAGCAGTGTAGCAAGTCGTTCGCTGGTTCTCCAATGCACTGGGCTGTGAGTCAAACAAGGATTGGTTCATGAGAATAGCCGGTAGCGACCAAATTGACAATCAGTCAAGTCGGTATATCCTTTCAGATGAGCCGGCACTTAGAAAGATCATTCATATCATTGGTTGCATGCAGCAAGATTCCAGGGCGCTGGGAAGATCACGATGTTATGCTACATCCAAGAATGCACATGTTCCAAAGGAACGGTGCTCGTTTGTGCGGTTTGCGAGGCATGGGCATCACTGGCAGGTCCCACAAGTGGTATTGTTGAGAAGGTGCCCAGCATATCTCTGAGTGATGAACGTTTGAAGCAAGTCGCAGAGCATTATGGCGTCAGCACAGCACAGGCTCGAGAGGGTGATAGGAACTCGAGGGCTTGGGATTTCTCATCTGGAACCCTTTCTTTTCTGCATCGTTGCCACCCTACGACCCTTTGTGAGTTTCCAGTGGAAAGCTCTTCAAATTTTCGTTTCGCCATAAAGCGAGTAAAGTACCTAAGCGAACATTTGAACAGCCACTTTGATAAATTTGTGGGACTTTGAGATGTTTTGAGTCTGTTTCTGCAGGTGGAGTTGCGGTGGGAGACACAAAAGCAAGTGGTGCCGATCACTGCGACATGTACGAAGGCAGGTGACATTCTTGTGTCGGATCATGTCCTCTGCTGAAGACATCAAGAAAGTCGCGCCCCTTTTCACCTGCGCCGTCTTGCGTGCTTTCACCAAGAATTACGGGATAGTTGCCAGACCCAACAGATTCCACAAAGATCCGAAACGCTTATATAAAGAGTTGCTGTGCCAATAGGGGCCAAGGCTAAGGGCATCTGCACTTTGCATCACTTTGCAGGAGCATGCTTTGGCTGATTTGAGCATTTTCAACTTCACTATTTCTGACAAGGAGGGGGAAATATCAAAACATTGCGTTCAATGGACTTGCAGTTTCTTAATCGGCCGGGTATGCGTTTGGTATTTGGTGATGTTGGGAAAGTCCATACAGAAAGTTTGAGACGCAAGAGAGTCAAGAAGTGCACCGTTTTTCAATTTATTCTGCACATTCAATTCCTTGCCGCCACATGCCACGAGGACATGCAATACTTGGATGATCTCATGCCAGCTGAAGCAGTGAGTGTTTGAGCTGCAGCTGTGGATCCTTCAGCTGGGCCTGGGCGATTGGAACAGAAATCCATCAATCCCTCCAAAACTCTCTTATTAAAAAGATCGAACAATCAAAAGGTGTGTATATTATATAATTATATAATTATAAAATGAGATATAACGATAATTACACGGGAAATATCAGCAATGTACATACATGCGTGCGTGCGTGCGTCCGTACGTACGTACGTACACGTACGTATACACACATACACTCGTACACTCGTACACACATGCACATAAATATACATATAAATATACAGATATCATATACATATACATATACATGTACATGTACATATACACATACAAATACATATACATATACATACACGTATACATATACATATACATACACATACAAATGCACATACACATATTTTATACATATACAAATGGACACATATACACACACACATATATACACACATACACATATACACACATACAGACATACAGACACACAGACATACAGACATACAGACATACAGACATGCAGACACACAGTCATACAGACATACAGACATAACAGACATACAGACATACAGGCATATAGACATACAGACATACATACATACATACAGAATACAGACATACAAACATACACACAGACATACATGCATGCATGCATACATACAGACATACATATACACATACATATATGTACAAGATCTCTCTCTCTCTCTCCCACTCTTTGTGAAAAGGTACGGTATGCTTTCACATCCAATTTCCTGTTTGACGACGGAAAGGGCATCGTGTGCCTTACAGCGTAACCAACTGACTTTCCTGCTGCGCGTGAAAAAGGGGTCGATGCCAGCCTTGGTGGTGCCCTTAACGCAGCTGTAGTCAATGGTGTCCATAATCCTCGCGGCTGTGAGGCACTGGCCGGACAGGTGGAAGTTTGTCCCGGAGAAGGGCCTAGATACGGAGCCCAGCGGCGTTGGGGCGAGGATGGTTACTTGTTGATTGAAATGTTTGAAATCGATTGACCCTGGTAGAATGGTGCAGTGCTGAAGGATTTCTGCCCTGTATCCGCACATTTGGTCAGAGCGCCAAGTCGTTGACAGCGCACCAAATGTCTCGCTTTGTATTGCGGAGGAGACCACAAATGCAATCACGATGGCACCCACAGGGCCCGGCACCAATGAAGCTCAGATCAGTTTGATTTCATATGTTGCCCAGAAGAGTCTCATGCTACCCAAGGTGTGCGCAAAACTTTTAGATTCCTCTGGGAAGCCGATGATTTGGGGTCAGAGCCCTGGTTAAAGAAAAGACATGCTTTTATGTCGGTACTGTCGGTATGTGTCTGCCTTTTAATGGTCCATGCTTCGACATGTTTTGGCCTGGGCTGCTCTTGCATTACCCAAATCACTACTTGTATTGATGTGGTTGAGGTCAGGGAGACTTCTGGGAGATCACCAGCCAGAAGCGTTTTCAGTGGGATAGTGCGTCGGCCACCTTTACATTTTTGTTTCATGTAAACCCACGTGGGAATTGTTGGGGTTCCTACTCTCGGGTTGGATACTGCCAGACAAAGTGGTTGATGGAAGTTGATGTCAACGGGTCCGGACCTTTCACGGAGAGGGACATTAATTTGCGAGCAAGGCAATAGATTCAATAGATTCTTCACATACCTTTCTCCAATGGCTCAAGCAGATCACTGGCAGACTGCTTTGCCAACACGCTGCCCCAATGGCCCTAAGGACCTAAGCAACGCAATCCAACAAGATCCACCAAGATCTATATAAAAAAGGGGTTCTCATCGGCTTCCGCATGGCCCTCCTTGATACCTCATGGCCTCCCGAATGTGGATTTCACAGCTCCACACTGGCGCGTGTAAGGAGGAGTGGTAGGAGCCAATTGGGGTGGAAAAAACCACTAGGAAGATCATTTTCATTCTGCATTCTGCGTTGCAGAGTCACTTTTGCAATCTTTTGCAATATTGGCATTTTGTGGTCGCAGAGACAGGATCTGCATGACACTTGCCGTGGCAACCACCTCCTTCCAACCCCCGTTCAAGTTCACATGTTAACAAAGACATATCCCTATATAGTGGTACGTAGATCATTCTTATTTGCAATGCATTGTGTACACATTGCCTGTCCTTTGAGTTGCAGACAGGACTTGTCCAGCGCTGCATTTCTGCGGTAGACCTTGCGAAGAAGGGCCAGGTAGTCAAGGCACAAGCCAATAGGGCTCTCCAGCACCCACCACTTTTCCATGTGCAATGGTGGATGGCGGGGTTTTCAAATATTATATATGAATAATTATGAGAGATACTGATCGATATTCATTCGCTACCACCTGGTGACAGGGTCAACCCTCAAGACTTGCCTGGCATGGTGCTGCACAATGGGAAGCCTGGCAACTTGGCAGAGCAGAATGATATGGATGGCTGGGTAGAACTATGCGACAGCAAAGCTATAGATGGGGCCATTTTCAACAAAACAAATATTTTTGCACCCTCAGATGGGTTATTTAGCATGCAACAGCTGCAGCAGCTGCTTGTCAACTCAGGCTGGGAGTGGATGGGTGCGAAGGAGAGCTCGGAAGCTGCGAGAGCAGCAACAAGGGTGCCTTTCCTTCAAGAGTTTACAATGTTTTGCAAACGGTGTGCAGTCACCATGGTTGGCCTTTTGGGGCTCATGTTGGCAGATAGCCTGTTCATAGAGGCAGCGGGTCACCGTGAGTGTGTCTGTCAAGTTGGGTACCAGCGAGCTTCTTTTCTCCCAGCTGCAGCTTGCCACATGACTTCAGGTATGATGAATTTCCTTGCATTCAGCTGGATGGTCTTGATTGGTTTGCTTCAGGCCGGCTGGGACGGTTCTGTTGTTGACATGGCCATGGGAAGCAGCACTTCGGGTAGATCCTGCGGTTGGAACCAGGCAGCGGTCCACCGCAACGAGTGATGGAGACAGTCAAAGAAGCACTGGAGACCCATGGGGTTTTTACAGTGGAAGGCTGGGCCTGAGCCAACTGCTAAAAAATCGGCAAACCTTGGATGGTTTTTGTAGTACTCTTTTGCTATTTACGGGGGTACATACTCACGAACCAATTTTGGATTGGCCATGACGAGGTAAACCAACATGGGCACGTGAGTTGAAGATTGAGCTTAGGAAAGAAACGAGTGAACCAAAGTGTTTCGTTGAGTGATCTTTGATCTTGCTATGTTTTCTGTGTCCACATCCCATGCGTCCAGTGTGGCCTGAAAGACACAGCCGTAAACAGCTTCAGAATCCTTCAGAGGTCATGGGATTCCAATGGAGACTTTATTGCGAGCGAGGGAGGAATCCCTCAGCTTTTTTGACCTGCCCTTGGACGAGAAACAGCAATGCGCCGTCCCTTGGTGTAGCCATGAAGCCTGCAGGCCTGTAACAAATTTGTTTTGAGGCCCACACTTCTGCTACCTGATACCTGTTGAGCGTCTAGAATTGCATCATTATCGTTATCGTCATCAATGTCATCAAAGTCATTATCGCCCGATGGCATAGCATTTTTGAATATCTTTATCAGTGTGTGGCTACGATTGATTCTTGTACTTGATTTTCCGTAGCCGTAGCTAAGGTCTACCGAATGGAACGCAACCGTGCCCTGAATGCAGATGGTTCAGATGCGCAGCAGAAATCCTGCAGATGGCCTTCATGCTGTGCCACGTGGCTCAGTGGTGTCTTAGTGAGGTGGCTACGAGATCTATCCGCACCACCAGCGCTTTTTGGAGCAATGGACCGGAATATGCAGTCTTCCTTCAGATGCCCATCCTGAGCCGTCTGCGGTACAAGGAGATGGGTGCATGAGCGGACACTGCAGGAACTAGTTATACAGAGATGGTTAGCGGTTGGAGGATATTAGAGGAGACTTAGAGGTTTCATGAGATTTCGTTTTTTTCCTCCTCCCCCTCTCCTCTTCTCAACCACAAAAAATCATACAGCAACAGTCGGATACAGTTGGACCTTGTCAAGCGCTCGTCTGCACCAGGCATTGTTTGTGAGCGCTTCTGCTGTGGCCCCCCTGCAGTTTGCGAGCCATGCGAGCGGCCATCTCCAGAGCCCTGGAGGATGGAGGATTTCTACACCTCTGAGTATGGAATCTTGACATTGACATTGTGTTGGAAATGGCAATTTTTTCCGGAAAATGTTGGAAACGAAGAAATTCGAACAATTCGAGGGAACATGATTCCAGTTTCCTTTTTTAATTTTGTTATCCTTTTGTCCTAATCCGTTTGCCAAGGACAAGTGTTCTTCCCCCCGAACATCTGGCCCTGCAACTCCAAGTGCTCGGAGCTGCGGCCTTCTTTGCTTGAAGCATTTCAATGTCTCGAACGCTTCTCAGAAGCGATCCTCATGCTACTCGTCTTGGATCTCTTGGATCCGGACCTGGTTGCAGGGGGTAGGCTGAAGCCATTGATCATATGAAGGGTGATTTCAGGGGGAGGATTTCTTGTTTATCTATGTTTATCTGGCATAATGACAAACCTATGGCTGAAGGAAGCTGTATTGAGTGATACTGAGGGAGTAAGAGTGGTACAGATGTACCTATGATCTAACATGACGTAACATGTAACATGATGTAACATGATGTGACATGATGTAACCCTACAGCTGGTAGACTTGTTATGCAGATTTGAGAAGCCTCCAGGCTCTTGGCAAAAGCTGTGGACATGGAGCCACGGAGCTTCCAGCAGTTGATGTTCGACTCCTTGGGCCATCCGCGTCATGCCAGCATGCTTCAGGCCACACCCTGTCTCCACATAGACCACATAGATCAACCTTTTGTAGAGGGTAGTGGGCAGGGCTTCGTGATGACAAAGCATATTTTCACTCCTTTGAACTATTTTGAACTATGAACAAGATGCTGATGCTTCTGGTTAAGCAGACAACTGCTAGTTTCCAACGCTTCCAGGGAAATTTTCCAGCCTTCCCGCAATGCTACCTTGTATGACATTGACATGCCTATCCTTTCACAACTTGGAATCTGATTCTCCAACATTTTTAACGGCTGAGAGGGAAACTATTGTTCATGGAGTAATTTTGTCAGTTGGCTGGTGTGCCCAGCTCCCTTTGCGCTTTGCAGCTTTCCTGCTTTCATTCTCAGGGAAAAGCAACTCCTTGGAACTATTTTGCAGCTCAGCTATTTGGAATTGGGCAGGTCTGCAATTATCCATCGCTCTTGCCGCGGAGTTTGAGACCTACCGAGCTGCCAGCTGTCTGCAGAGCTTGGGTGATAGTTGGAGTATGTTGGAACCCAATAAGTCTTGATTCTGTATTCAATATACATCGACAGGTTTGTGGTTGGATCTATGTTGCAGGACCAGCGCTGGGTTTATACGGACATTCTGCACCTTAGATATGCGCCTGCTAGTGGGTTCTGTGTTGTTCTTCCACGCTCCGTGATGTGCGAATTGAGTCAAAACAAGGGCAACAACAGGTTGCAACAACAGCTTCATCCAGATGGCGATAGAGAGAGAGAGAGAGGGAGGTAGGGAGGGAGGGAGGGAGGGAGGGAGAGAGAGGGAGGGAGAGAGGGAGGGAGAGAGAGAGACTGGTGACGCATATTCTCGCCTGCATACAAGTGTGTCAAGCATCCATAGTTCGTGTCTTCTTTGCCACATGATCCCTGGAGCTAGCGAACGGTTTCGTGAAGGGTTTAGCGTGAACGGTGCTCATCATTCAGTGACTTCGGGGATCATCCACAAGGTCTGAATATCAACTTCGCGCGAAGGCGCACCAAGACTTTGGAGCCTTCACAGTCCTGGCAAGGCGGTCGGCAACGTGGTTTGAGGTTATGGTTTGAAGATGTTTGAAGTATGGTTGTTGGACGCTAGGGATGGAAGTGCTGCACAAAGAGCCAAAAGTGAAATTTACATGGAAAAGATAGAAACAGATATATAAGCGGATATAAGCGGGTCGTATGAAATATTGATCTCTAAATGCATTGTAGTGGGCCTATGTGAGGATCTCTCTCTTTAGAACAGTCATGCTAGGACTAGGAGGCTACATCGGCTACATCTTCACGGGGAATCCTTGAAGTTCCGTCGCAGGTGTCCCGGCACCGACTCTGGCAAACTCAACTGTGGGAAGAGCGGCGCTTTGGAGGCGAAGTGCTGGGGACCCCAGGCACCCCGGGCACCCTGGGCATCCTAGGCACCCTAACACCACGGGCATTCCCAATCTGCAGGTCAAGCTACCTTCTGGGCAGTGGATGTGCGTGCCAGCCAGAAGTGAAGAGCTGACGGTGATGCCTGGAACTCTCATGGAATATCTCACCGCGGGACAGTTGTTTCGTGCCTCTTGCAGATCAATCGGCAGTATTTTCCTGAGATAACACGATGTTTGAACTTGACAGTTGGGGTGTTGAGATTGCTTGAGCTGGGGTTTGCACCAAAAAAAGGTAGGACAGTGACCAAACATATGGATGCACAAAATTGACCCCAAGACATTGTTGGAAGAATGCGGTCACTGTATTGGTCTGGAGGTCTTGGTGCCAAAACAGCCGTCACACATCCAGATTCCGTGTCGTTTCCTTGTGTCGTCCAGCATGCCCGTCTTTCCTTCGGGCCTGGAAGGACGCTGCAGAGGGGTAATGCATCGCGTTTCGAACCCGCCTGCGAAGTCAGCCTCTGCTGCAAGACGCCTCTCGCTAACATTCGCCGCTCGGACTACGCATGGATGTTTGAATCGTGGTACCATGTGGTGCCACATATGTATGCCTTTTGTGTCCTGTTGTCCCACGGCTGATGGACGGATGAGCTTGTAAACGTATTTGCCGCAAAGCGAATCCTATTACTTTAAACATGTTTAAACACACTCTCCTTTTTACACCGAGAGCTCACTCCTGTGTGTGATGTGCGGTAGATCAGCATGCTTCGTTTGTGAAGTGAGTATCGCTGGAAAAAGCTCTACTGGAACTTTGGACACTTTCTGTGCAAGGCTTATCAGAGTATTGAACAGTGCTGTGTCAGGCGTTCCCAGCAAAGCTTGTGAGGTGGTAAAGCCAGACTACTCAGCTGCAGCAGTGCCTCCAGATAGTGCGCTGGCTTCGGAGTCGTCAACTCCTACCTTGGGTGATCTGTGGCGAGTAGGCCCTTTGGCCTAAACAAAACTCATGAAACTTCGCACAAGTGGTGTTTGTTGATGGGTGCAATTCTTCAATGATATATCAATGGTACATATTTAATCATATTTATACGTAAGCACGTGTGTGTGTGTGTGTGTGTACGCACACATACACACACATGGTATGTATGTATATATATAATATATAATATAACATAATCTAACATAATATAATATAACATAATATCATATAATACAATATGATATAACATAATATCATATAATATAATATGATATAATATAACATGATATAATATAATAATACAACATAAAATTATAATATTTTAATATATATATATATACACAATAGTACAATAGTATGTGTATATATATATTATATACGCATTTGTAATACATGTATATAAGGTAACACCATTTCAAGCGTTCTGTTAAGTCAGTCCTCTTTCCAAAGCATCCTGCAGGATGGCAGGAGAAGCAGCGTCTCACGGGGGCCATGCCGCATGGTGAGGCAGTGCAGAACTTCCGGCGACATCGTCAAGAACTTCGAAGGCAGCTTCTGCTGGAGCCGTGAAGCCCCAGTGAAGCCCTGAGAGACCTGGAATGACAAGAAATCCTGGAGCCACTGAAACAAAGGTGCGACTGAAACAGTCAATGACTATCACTATGATCACTACGTCCAAAGGCGGCCTGGATGATCCAAAGTTCTTGAGATGATCCAACTGGATGGAGCTAGGTGGTGCCACAAAGGACCACTGCACGGCCAACTTGGTGTTCACAGGCGTGACGGAGGATGCACACGAATGCACACGGATGCACAGCCAGCGCAGGGGATGGCAGGCATTGAGATTTTGCGGTCGGCCTGAAGAAGATGTGGCCGGATCCACTGTGCCGTTGCATGTCTGGACTACATAATTACGTCTCACATAGTCTCACCATATTGAGAGCAGACAGATGAACACGAACGAACATCCGCTTTGCCGTCCAATGTGCGTGTTTGAAATATTTGAAATGCCTTGTGCAAGCATGGTGGCCACACCTCGATGGATAGTCCTATAGGGATATGCCAATGAATCCCACTGATGTAACTCTCAAAACAGCAGTCAGCCAGGTACGATTCGGGCGAATGGAGGGGATAGTTGGTGCATTTGCATGTGGGTGGTGGGCTCAATGCTTCCAGGGTACTTGGGAGACTTTGGGTACTCTTTGCATTCACCAGGCTGTGCCTTAAACATCGATGGAGAAACATGTTTGCCCACCGGAAGAGAGGCCTTTGCTCGCATGGTTGAAGCGGTTGGTTGTGACAACGTTCACCTCCGATGCAACGCAACGGATTTAGATTTTGTCAGTGCCTAAGGCAGTTTGAGACAAACCTGTCATGACAAAACGTCACATCGGGTGGTCTTCATTTCCAAGGTCCAAGGAAGTCCAAGGCAACAAAAGACATCAAAAACGGCAAATCATTAAACAAAGGCAAGCAATCTTTCGTGTTTGCATGCTATGCCATGCTATGCCTAGTCTGGCTCTCAGGTCTTGGCAAGCTACCAAGACCGGGGCGTCACAGGTACAAGACTCAGCTTGAGAAGGCTCTTCCAGTGGTGGACTCGCCCACAAGATGCAAAATGATGCAAACGTCCAAGAGGTTCCTCCCAAGCGCAAATCACAAGTGTACAAGATGAGTGCTGACATACATTCATCATGCACCCATGTTGTACCACGTTGTACCATGTTGTATCACAGTGCACATCGTACTAGATTCGTTACTAGATCTATCGTATTTGTTTTTTTTTTCTATCGTTTTGATTCGTTTTGTGGTTGTGATGGGCCAGGTGGGCCCAGTCAAGCGAAGCCCAGGTCGAGTGCATGACCTGAGAGATGCACACAGCTGCATGAAAAAGAAATGTCTGGAGATGCCGGAGGCGCTGCCGACCTGTGGGACCACACATTCTATGGCGGTCCCCCCATACACGTCAGATCACGTCAGATACTTATATGCATATCTAATAATTAATATATATATTATATATACATAGCATTATATAGCTACATTCATAATATAAATAATTATGTACACACACACACACCGATATATATATATATATCTGTGCGTGTACATCTATTTATATATATATATCTGTGCGTGTACTTCTGTTGTTTACCACAGACACCTTTCAAATTCAAAGATCGATGTTGTTCAACATGACAATCGTAACATCACCCTTTCGCTCAGGAGTAAAGGCGGGACAATGAATTTGACTGGCACTCATGCCCCACACTCCGCAAAGCCCTCCTCCGAAAAAATACGTTACTATGAAAAATTGAGAGAAATCACCACACAATACGGACGACACAACCAACACATCATACTCGGGGACTTCAATGCTAAGTTGTTAAAAAGTCTCCCTGAAGAACGAGAACACATCGGACCTCATATATTCAACCCAGACGACCAAAACATAGACAGCCTACCCGAAGCACAAATGGAGAACAGAGAATTGTTTGTAGAGTTCTGCTTGGAAGAGGATTACGTTGTCTCATCCATGTTCCAGAAACATCACAATGACCTAATCACTTTCAGAAATACGCAAGCTGCGACTTTTGCATCACCGTTTACGAATACCAGGTTTTCGCAAATTGATCATATTCTGTCAAAACGCAGGTGGAGAAATGCAATTAGAAATGTCAATGCGACTCACCATACCTCTCTTGAATCAGATCATAAAATGATAGTTGTAGACGTTGTAATTAAGCTTGCGAAACAAACAAAAAAGTCAACAGCACACGCGCCCAAATACCGTGAGCCCTCCGATGAGCAACGCCTGAAGTACAACCAAATTATCCGACAACTCAAGGTTGCCCCCCCCCCCAAATTTTGACACAACCCCTGTTACGGTCTTTGCTCAATGCTTGCAAAAAGCAGCTAGTCTGTCCTTCACGGTCATTCCCCCAAATCAACGACAACCTTATATTTCTGCTACCGCCTGGAACCTTATGGAATCTAGACAGGAAGCTTATAGGCAAGGACAGCCACAGATCGCTCAAGAGCTCACGCAGAAAATTAAAAAGGAAGTGCGTAAAGACAAAGAGACACACCTTTTGCAACAACTAGAAGAAATGGAAGGGTCTTCTTATTCTTGGAATGGTTTGAAGCGTCTCAGAAAAGCTCCACGGCTGAAATACACAAAATTTCGAGATAAGGACGGAAGAAGGATTCCACGAAGCGAATACCACCACAAGGCTGCAGAATATTTAGCACAAGAACAATGGAAAAGAAACCCGGATAGGACACCACCTCCTAAAGTCAATCCCTCTAATCTGACTAACGGACGATTTCCCATCAATGATTCCCAGTTCACCTTAGATGAACTAGACGCCGTGATACGAAAGCAACCAAACAATAAAGCGCCCGGCACAGACAATTTGAGAGCGGAACTAGTAAAATATCTTGATGAGGAAAATCGAAAAGCTCTTTTACAATTTTACAATGACATACTACAATCAGGAAAATTAGAAGATTCCTTACATGAAGCCTCAGTTGTCTCTATTTTCAAAAAGGGAGACTCCACGAAATTGGAAAATTATCGTCCAATATCATTGTTACAGACATTCTACAAATTACTGGCAGCTATGATTAAAAATCGTTTGACACAAGGACTCGACGATTGGGTTATGACCACACAATATGGTTTCCGTAGCGGTAAATCCACTAGCCACGCCATCTTCCTTGCCCGCCGCCTCCAAAGTATTGCAGAGATCACAGGTAGGAGCATCAGTGTAGTTATGCTAGACTGGGAGAAGGCGTTTGATCGACTTGACCATGACCGTCTTATGGAAAGCCTGCAGGGGTTAGAAGTACCACCACGCCTCCTTCAACTTATTAAGGACATTTATACACATCCCAAGTTTCAAGTAAAATGCGAAGAGGGTTGTTCAGCCTTTTTACGGCAAGAAGCAGGTATTCGTCAAGGATGCCCACTCAGCCCATATTTATTTATATTAGTCATGTCCGTTGCATTCTCAGACATAAAAAACCGGCTTCATACCCCAAAGCAGCTTGAACCGTTACCTGGTATTTATTTCTCTGAAATTCTTTACGCTGACGATACCTTGATTTTTGGTGATCACACTGCTTCAATAAACAAACTCCTACATGAAATTGAAGTTGAGTCCTCTTATTATAACATGAACCTCAACTACCAGAAATGTATTAACTTGACAACGAACCAACAAACTTCCACTATCAAGTTTTCAGATGGCTCATTGGTCCCAAGAAAACACCTGGCTATATATCTAGGCACAGTGTTAAATGACGCTGCTGATAACTCAGTGGAACTTCAGAACCGCTTGGCCTTAGCAGTTAAGACATGTTGCCAGCTCAAACTGTTTTGGGATAAGGCAAACACTGGCGCACACTGGAAACTCAGAGTATTTAACGCAATTGTCAGATCCAAACTCATGTACGGTTTAGAAAACTTACAGCTAACCCACGCAGAAATGAACAAATTAGATGCCTTTCAGATGAAGTCACTTCGCAGAATTTTGAATGTTCCACCTACTTTCATTGACCGAACGCAAACTAATCAAGTAGTCCGAGAACAAGTTGAACAATATGGTGTTGATGCGACAAATTTTTCTCAGGTGTGGAAAAACCAGAAGCTCAAATTATTTGGACATATTCTTCGTGCAAACCACAAAGACCCACTTCGGCAAGTGCTCTTCTCATACAACAGTTTCGCACCAAGAAATATCCCACTCAAAAGAAGAGGTAGGCCAAAATTAGATTGGCTTCAAGAGACTATAAAAGATGCCTATCACGCCTTGGGAAGGGTGGCCCCACCTTCTCCTACTCACCAAGATGTCTTGCAATTGGTGGATGTTGCCGCCCTTCGGTGCGGACCTTTTTGATTTTTCTTTTTCATACGGTCGCCTTATATCCACCTGGCCATCGGCCAACAGCCTCCGTGCTTACCGAGTAAAGACTAAGAAAACTGACACCCTCCCGTGTTCCAAATTTGATTTTAATCTTTTGGTTAAGCCGCGCACCTTCATTGGCGCTAGAGGAAAAAATAACTAAGATAGATGATCTTGGATGCAAACCTAAGAGGACCTCAGTCAGATGCAAGGGTAAATGCCGCTGGTTCAGCAACATAGGAGCCTGACACTACGGAGATGTTTGCAATCAACGGCATTGTATTGCTTCAAGGCAATTGCGTGATTTCTTGTCCCCTTGGTTTCAACCCAGGTTTCTTGATAGGCTTTTGGATCTTTGGATTTACATTGAATCATAGTGAACTATGTGAAGATTTTTGACTTGCTATTGTATTTGCATTGCCGGGCCTGCGCATGAACATGCTGGCAGCCTGCAGACGTGGCAGGGGGCTGCCTCTGCCGCCAAGCAGCAAGCTTCAATGCCACAGGACGCTCGGCATGAATGGAACATTCTGTTCCTCAGAAGAATTACAGAGCTAGAAAATTTTTTTCTAGAACTGGAGTAGTGGAGGTGCACCCAAGCACTCTCAAAATATTGAATGGGAGGGCTGAGACTCTCGTTCTTTGGAACCCCATCTATGAACACGTGGCCGTTTGTTGCAAGAAGTCACCCTTTCATGCTTCCATCAAAATATGCTAGACCAGCAAAGCCCCGCCATTGTTGAGCACAGAGGGCTCAGAATGTTCAGAATATTGTGCAATTGAGGGGCCAGCCAGCATGCCTGAAAAATGTCTAGAGATGTCTAGAGTCTAGAGTCCAGAGTGCTTGGGAAACAAGCTGCTTGGGAAACAAGCTGCTTGGGAAACAAGCTGCTTGGGAAACAAGCAAGGTGTCAACATTCCAAGAGGTCCAAGTCCAGGCTTAAGCCCATTGTGATATTATTTGAACTGCAAGAATGCACTCAGCTGAGGCCGAAAAACATTTCGTTTTTGCTGAGCTTTAGATGCAAAACAGCTTGCTCACCTACTGGAATTGTGTGAGTCTGTTGAGGTGAAAGGTTCCAAGCTCGCAGAATCTCGCAGAACATAATGACATATTGCTCTTTCCAAGTGTAGTTTATTGTGAAGCAGAGTAGCTATCTCCTTACTCTTTCTTGCTCTTTACCAGCGCCGGACCACTGGCGGACCAGTTCCGCCTTGCAATTTTCTTTTTCGCCTGGGAAGGCAGGCCAAAATTTTCATACCGCTCCTGGCCAGTTGGCTGACGGGTGCACCACACCTTTGACCCACGAGCAGCAGGGAAAAAGGGGCGATACATGGTGACCTGGCATATTCGGTGTGGCAAGGGTCTGCATCAGACAATATTCTCAACGGAAGCGAATCAGAACCAGAGATTCTGTGGCGACCGTGGTTCAAAAGCCTATTTCAGTCTTGCTTGGGCATTGTAGCAACACCAAGGGCACATGCCACCAGCACAAGACAGAGCCTTGATGACCCTTGATGCTTAATGAGCCTGATGTGAACACTATGTGATCATAAACCCAGTGGCGAATTTGACCTCGCTCCCTGAGAATTTGAAGCTAGTGAAACACGTGTTGAGCTCTTTCCATTCAACGTGCAGATTTCATCAGATTGCACCAAGACAGCCAAGACACCTCCACATTTTCCAAGGGTTCGATGAAAGTTATTGCACCAGCATCGTTGGTGCTAATGGCGGGCCTGCATGGTGGATCGCCTGAAGTTTGCCCTGGCCTCTTCTGTTTTGACAGAAATGGTGTGCCGAAACCTTTCGAGGTTCTTTCTGGCAGCTTGTGACATCTGATGACTAGAGACGATGCATTCTGCTGCGCCTCCCACTGAGGCGTGCTTTTGGGCGTGTTGGCCTTAAGATGAAACTTGTGTTGCGCATGGAACACACCACTGCGATGCAACATGCGAGATGTTTGCATGAGTCTATTCCCTGAGGCTATGGACGCAACGGAGTTTGGCCACATACAAGGGGCATGGGTCCTAGCAGAGGAACGAGAGCTTGCTTGAGGTGTGTGGCATGTATAAGTTCACCTCTACGACTGGTTACAGCATGTTCCAGTGTTGGAGCTTTAATCTTGGGCACTGGGGCACTGTCTGGAATAGAGACTCTATAGAGACTCTGTAGAGATGTTTAGCGGTTTAGCGTCAGCGCCTTTCTCTTTTACAAAAGGCCCGGCGTCTCCGTCTGAGGTTCGTGAACCCGCTGCGGCACTACAATGCCTCTGATGGCTCCCTGGTGCGCGATCCGAGGGGCCGACCGTTGATAGATTTGATAGACATTTGAGAACATCCATCGGAAGTCCTCAACTCTGACCCAAAATGACCCGAACCGCCGAACCAGATTTTAAATCCAAAGATTGTTGGGCCTTGCTGGACCATTGCGTTTGAGATTTACATTCCCTGGAGCTTCCTGTGGGGCATCACTAACGCCCTGCAGCGCTTCGTGCTGCAACTCCACGACAGCGAGTCTACTGAAGATTTGGCCTTGGCGGTGCAGGTGGGGTTGGGCATGGTTGGGCATGGTTGGGCATGGTTGGGCATGGTTGGGCAATGAGTGAAGGTTTAAGATGTTAAAAGTAATGGACATCTAATCAAGACAATATAACATTACATGCCAGCATCACTTTCTGACCTAGTGGCATTGGGAATTCAACTGATCAGAGCAGAGTCTTTTTTTCCCCTCAGGACATGGCACAGGGTAGCGCGAATTCCATGATATCCTTTTGCTGAGACAGCCGAGATTTTCTTGAGATGGTGGCGAGTCTTTTGCACACTTTGGACGCGCCCACATGTGCACGTCCGCCGAACCTGGAGGGCCCTTGGGTCAGGACATTCTAGTCATTCTAAGGATCTAATATGATCTAATGTTGTTCCCGCGGCGACATTCTTTGCCTTTCTTAAACAAGTCCTTGTATATCTTGTATGATCTTGTATGATCTCATATATTTACATGATGCATGTTACATGTTTCACATCTTGGGTCCTTCACACACTCACACCCTGCGGATCCCTGCGGATCCCTGCGGACTCCGCAGCTTCATTTTGGCTCAGCTGTGAAAGCTCAGTTTGAGGGCGACGCCAGAGATAGGCGAGACAACGAGGGAGATCGAGGGAGATTCTGGGAGAGGTTGCAGCTTTGAGAGATCGCCTCACCACGGCCAGAAGAGGAACAAGTCAACAGGACATTCCAGTTTCCGGTCGTAGCAAGAAACTACTGCCCTGAATTATGTAGATAGGGTTCTTATATGTTCTCATGGATTCTTAAAATGCTGGAATCCAGGGGCCATTTTAAAATTTTGACATCGCACACTATTTCGATGTTCATGCTCGGTGTCCGCCTTTCGCTGTGGCGTGCTGTGACAGGTGAAATGAAGCTCTGGGCTCGTTTGGCCCTTCTGAGCATCACCTGGGCCGAAGTGGTCTTAGATCGCCCTGACTCACAGTACAAGGCACCGGTCCCTGTCTTTGGCCCATGTGGCAAAAGTGGCACATGGTGGCGCCTTTTTGGAAACTTTTGAATACGATGTTTTTTGATCAGTTCGATGCCCCTTGAATCGCCCCAAGAGCAGGACGTATGGCCACAGATGCACAAGCCACGTGAGATGAATAAGAGTTGAACATCACACCTTTGCAATTCTTGGCAGCCCATCCACATTTTTCCCCGATGTTTGCAAGTGGCAGGGTTGCAGGAGCGCCGGACAAGATCCCGTATCCCGTTTGGTAGTGCACGATTATGGGCATAGGTGGTGACAAGTGATGAGGAAAACCAAACACAGGGACAATGTCTGTGACTCAATCCTTCACAATCATAAATGGCGCAAGTGGTGATGGAAATGGCTGATATGTATGACATTATAGCTGCCCTTTCAAACTGTGGCTGTTTCTCAGGGCGGCGCGGAGAACTGCACAAAACTTTTTGCTGCTTGTCTGGGACAGCTAGTATAGCTAATGACCTCTGTGCCCACATCTGGGGTAATTCTGCTTGTATTTGAGAACTTCAACATGAAGGCAATTGAAGGCATGTAATCTCTATCTATGATCTATTTAACGTCTACGTTAATGTCCGCATCATTCCGCATCTGTCCACCAGCATTTGTGAGTCCGTGTCGTCCTAATTTTTTCGATGCAAAACCAGTCACCCAAGCACCAAGCGACGCAAACGACCCGAGGTTCAATCGCCTCCCTTTGATCAAGTGCCCCATGGCTTGGATCAAAATGTCCACCCCAGGAGAGCCGGACCTTCGCCATAGCATGCCATAGCTATCCTCAAAAGCTTCCATGGATCAAGGCACCATTATGAGCCCCGGATGGCGCATGCCATACTTCCTTTTTCTAGACTTACTTAGTCCCACCCGAAAAATGCAAAACAACTTGCTGGAAACTTATGCGGAAACTTATGTGGCGGTGTCCAGTTGATGCCGCGACCTGCTGGCAGGAGCTCATCAGTGAGTCAGAATGGCGATACGCCAGACATGCTGCCAATTCGCGCCGTGTACTACGAGCCAAGACCTGTAGGGTTGGGGCCTCACGACCAGCTGCTTCCACCAAAAAACGGCAATTGAAATGCTAGGCTGTCACCAGCAAGGGGTCCAATGCTATGCAAAAACATTGCATTCTGGGGAAGTTGTGCTTTATGGATTGGCGGATCTGCATTTTTCCTAAGCTGGCAGTGGCATACACATCATACACGGCAGCGATTGAGGTTGAGCCCCAGCAAGGGAAATGATCTATACACTTCTTCGTTCTACCACATACACAAGAGGGATTTGTACATCATGCGGAACCTTGGCAGAAGCCTTTCTCAAGTCCTGGCGCACACGTGGGTACCAAATCTCACAGAAGCCAGCACAACAGCGCTCTGAGGGTCATTAAGACCATGAATAACATGAAAAACACGAAAAAATCATCGAATACATACGAGGTCATACGAGCATGTTTGATTGCTTTGGACTCTTGCGTGGTTCGCCAGATGAAATGCCTTTGTCCTGCAGCTGATGGCAGGAATATCTTGAAGGCGAATGCTGTGAGACTGGCACCCTGGGATCGCACACAGGACCACTCGCGTTTTCTTCAGCTTTGCCGCGACGAAGGGTTGCACCTTGGTGGAGCAAATGGGTCCCGTTTAGCAATGGCTCGGAATGGCTCGGAATGGCGGGGAACTCCTTGGCCGCTTGCAGTTTTTGATGCTCGCAGGTATGTCATTCCTTCCTTCGATCTGGGAGCCTTCCTCAGTGAAGATGCTAGAAGGTTCCTTGGTCCTTAGTGCGACTGCAGGGACTGGCAATGCAATCCCGGCTGGAATTTTGGATGACGCGCTTCGACACAGGGTGGCTGGCACCCAGTATCACCCAGTGGCGAGTCGTGAGTGGAGTGCTGGTTTGCATCATTCAAACAAATTCCACAGCCATATTAGGCCATATTGTCTCTATTTGTCTCTGAGACCATGCGGGTGGTTTGCGGGTTGCGTTTTTTTTTGCTTTTTTGTGAGGATGTCCACCTTCGGAGAACGACGGAAGGATGTGTGGGAACAGTTTCAGAAGTTCACACAGAAGGCCACGCTGAAATCATGTTTCACAGTTTCACACAAAATACAGAGACACAAGACTGCTGTGTTGCTCCATCATGCCCCCTGGCAGGCCCTTCAGGATGCTAGGAAGATTGAGGACATCATCCTCATGTGGACGGTGAACTTCGGTTTGAACCTGAATGAGACCACTGAGGAAGGCCCTCGGTCTATATCAGTGCTCTCATTGATTCGAGATGAGACTGGGCAGCATGCTGCAGCTGGTTTGTTAATGTTTGTTATGCTTGTTTCACTACCGGCACCCACATCCCTGGTCAAATATCAGCAACACCACTAACGTGGCTGAAGCTACAAGAAAAAGCTATGATAACCTCTTGAGGCTTGGATAAGTTGTGCTGAAAGCCGGCCATGAAACATGGAGCAACAAACAGGTGGAACCTGACACTGGGACGATGGGACGGGGCCATCGCCAAGGAATATTTCGAGCTACTCCGTACTGTTCGTCAAGCCCAGTGGATTCAAGAGTGTGGCCCTTCCAAGAGCTCCTGCCCAGAGAATCGATTCAACCGACCCTTAGGTGACTTGACATGACTTGACTGTTTGAGGGTAGATGGGACTGGACGGGGTTGGAGTGGAGTGGAGATGCGCTTTTTGGTGGCAACCCGATGCGTGTTGATGTTGGACGATACGAACCTAGTCAATCCTCCCTCGGAGACCAAGGCATTCCCCTTCTGCTGGACACAGCCTTGCGAATAGACAATGTGGGCTGGTACATCGGTTTCGCGGAACATCAGCCGACTTTAGTGCAAGTTTTCCAAGTGCCAGTTGAGCATCTAGTAGTTTGCCCAATTATTTCACAATATGAGCACGTGCCACCATGTGCCAGCGAGGAGACCACTTGGGGCACTTGGCCCGCTGATGAGCTCTCCTTGCAAATCGATGAAAAGACATTCAACAAGTTGCGGCCCTTGGGGGCCTTTGATGTATGGATTGCAGAGTCACAGCCTCCCACTAGCAGGTTAGGGCAGACTGATCTTCAGAACCAACTGTCCTGGTTCAACGTCCCTTGGCCTGAGCGGAGACTTTTTCATCTTTTTTCCTTTCACCTCATCTTTGGCTGCACGATTTAACACAACGATAAATTTCACACTTTTTCCTAGATGTAGAGTCTGTAGGGTGGTTCAATTGGAATCCTAGCGTAGAGGCGCTGCTTTGTTCAACTCGCGCGGTTTGGTTTCCCGCTGGGATGAGGCAACGAAGCAAAATAGCAACAACAGCTTTCAATGGCGCAGCCTTTCCACGCAGACCCTGCACAATCCTGATGGAGATGTGCTTGAAGGCTGTGAAGGTGCCGGACTGGGATGATTTTAATAGGACGACTTTGGAGGTATGACTTTCCCAACGGCGTACCGCTACTGTTTGAATGGCTACTGATTCAATTTGGAATGAAGAGCATGGATGAGACCAAGAGATACCAAGAGCAGAACCGAAAAAGTATAGCCTTGCACTTCTACTTGGGATTGCCAGAGAAAGACCTGACCTGACTTGACTTTTTCTCCCTGTGCTGACAGATAGTGGCTGCACCTATCCAACTCAAAAGCTGGTGCTGGCCCAGTTTGGCTTTGCCGCCGAAAGTCCGTTGTATGGATCAGCCGCTTGGCAATGTGACCTGAGCACAGCTGTAAGTCCCTAAACGCCGAGCTTTGTCAGCGGCCTGGGTAGCACCAAGGAAAGTGAAGCATTTGATCCAAGTTTGCAGCAGAAACTCACAGGCACCAGGGCGAATCGGCTGTGGTCTGGCACCACAGGTGCGACCCTGCAACAAACATGACACAAAAAAATAATAATGATAATAAAATAACAATAAAAATAGTGATAATAATAATAATAAATAATAATATATGATATACATATGACATGATATAATCATGATGCATACACGCACACAATAGTAGTACTAACAAGAATAGAACTAATACCAATAAGAACAACAATGATAACAACAACAACAGCAGCAACAACAGCAACAGCAGCAACAGCAACAGCAACAGCAACAGCAACACCAACCCGAACAATAATGATAACAACAACAACAGCAACAGCAACAGCAACAACAACAAAAACAAACAACATACAATACAATATACAACATACAACATACAACAAACAACATAAAACATTCATACAACATACAACATACAACATACAACATACAACATACAACATACAACATACAACATAAACCAACATGCAACAACAACCTACAACATACAACACACAACACACAACACACAACATACAACATCAACAACAACAACACCACCACCACCAACAACAACAACAACAACAACAACAACCAACAACAACCAACAACCAAACAACAACAACAACAACAACAACAACAACAACAAACAACAACAAACAACAACAAACAACAACAAACAACAACAAACAACAACAAACAACAACAAACAACAACAAACAACAACAAACAACAACAAACAACAACAAACAACAACAAACAACAACAAACAACAACAAACAACAACAAACAACAACAAACAACAAACAACACCATACAGCAACATACAACAATATGCAACAACATACAGCAACATACAACAACATACAACAACATACAACAACATAAACATACAGCAACATACAACAACATACAACAACATACAACAAACAACAAACAACATACAACATACAACAACATACAGCAACATACAACAACATACAGCAATATACAACAAGATACAGCAACATACAGCAACATACGACAACATCCAACAACATACAACAACATACAGCAACATACAACAATATGCAACAACATACAGCAACATGCAACAACATACAACAACATACAACAACATACAACAACATACAGCAACATACAACAATATACAACAATATACAGCAACATACACCAACATACAGCAACATACGACAACATACAACAACATACAACAACATACAACATTATACAACAACATACAGCAACATACAACAACATACAGCAACATACCACAACATACAACAATATACAACATAATACAACATACAACAACATACAACAACATACAACAACATACAACAACATACAACAACATACAGCAACATACAGCAACATACAACAACATACAACAACATACAACAATAGACAACAATAGACAACAATATACTAGATGGTATATATTAGATTTTCGTGGTGGATATGCTGAAGGCACTTTCATCAGCCCAGCCCAGCCTGCTGCCAGGAGAAGTCTTCAAAAAGATCGGAAGTTTGAAAAGCTGTGCCGAAGGCGGCGTTGTCGTTGACGAGTGGGTCGACGACTGGGGTCGATCGGAAGCCGAAGGTTGCGGAGGCAGTGTCTTTCAGCACCCTCGCACTGGGCCTTGTGATGAAGTACGACCAGGAAGAACCATCAATACAGAATGGCTTCTTGAAAGATGTTGAACGCCAATCGTTTAGGTTCATGTTCAGTCAAGCCTCACTCTGGGACACTGATCACCCAGACTTTTAGACAGATTCCCAGTTACTACACAAACGCAGGTCAGGGTTTCAGCTCAGGTTTGGTTTGAACGGCCAGTACACCTTCCTGAGCTTTCATTGCTTGGACCCTCGCTTTCATCGAGCGCACCCAGCGGCGAACGGAACAACAGTAGGTGCCAATGGCTTCCGATTCGAGGAGACCCGAGGGAACGGCAACGTGGCGTGTTCAGAATGAGAGCTTAACAAGGCTTGATATGTTTGTGAATATTCTGCCTGACGTGGCCACTGACGTTTGGGCACAGACAAATGCACTTCTGTCAGGTCCCTCATGCATAGTGCAGGGAAAGGACTAATTGGATCTCCGTTTCTCTGAAGGTAGAAGGAACTTCTTCTTTCAACCTGCGTGCCCCAGAACCGCTCCCATTTATCTGAGTGTATGTTGTGGGAGTGGTTCCACCAAATGTTCATCAACCGTACCTCAATCCTTGATATTCGATATCCACGGATCCATGTGGGACAATGTGGAATTCTGAGAGGACATCAAGGATCTTGATCGAGAGCAGAAGGATTGGGACAACTTGCCTGGCGGCTTCTGTGCTACTCGGCTGAGATATACTTAGTTGCAACACGTTGCAACGCAGTTCATCAGCGAGCCATGCAATGAAGTTTTGGTCTCCCGGGGGTTCAGTCTGCTCATTCAGGATACCTTCCAGAATTTTCTACAACACATTTGGTCAGTAACTCCTTTGTGTCAGCTCAGGCTTTGATGTACCAAAGCAATTGGCTCTTGCTCCTCGAAGCAGCTTTGCTGTTGTGTGGTGTGGGCTTGGAGGTTTTCTACCTCTGGCGTTGCTGTTGCTTCCGCGACTCGGTTTGAAGGCACTTGTGGTACCTGTCCTTTGGGCAGCCTCACCACAAGTTCTTGATATACTCTTTGTGGATTTGTTCCCATTTTGTGGCAGATTTGTCACCAGATGGCATGTCGGGTTCGCTTAGCGATCCATTGATCTGCACCAGGGTGCAAGTAGCCGGTGGCCAGCTCAGGTCGTAAGGTACACCGCGGCAGCAGCCCCTACCGGCAGGCAGGACGCATCATTCACTGGTGGCTAAAATTGGTGGCAATCACACACACACACACACCATTATTTTGCAACATCCCCTGTTGTTGAGAAGATTTGCACATCTCCTGGACCACCCTCCAGGCTGCCAATAGCTTGCTAGATCCTGAAAGCGGCGACAGCAGGCAGTGCAGTTTGTCCTCGGCCGGATTTCAACGCCTAGACTTTGATTATTCTAGAGAATGACGACCATGCTTTCCCTCTCGCAATTGATAACATAAGCCTGAACCGAGAGTCTAGAGGTTCTTTTGACAGCAACACAGTGCCACATTTGTTTCGAATGTTTCTCATGCCACTTCCATTGTTTCAAAAGCATTCAAGCTGCGAGGCCTGATGTGATTTCCGTAGAGCTTGGTACAGTTGCAGGGAACCTGCAGCAGAGCAGTGGGCAAGAGATCACCTCTGCCCAGGCACCACAGTGGGAAGCCATGTTAAATTTCACAAATAAGTATCTTTTAGAGACTTTTTTTGGGCCAAGAAACCGAGAAGTCCAATGTCACCATCTCAAGCTCTCCGCCTAAAAACCACCCTTCTCTGAAACTCCACTGAAGCAGGCAGAAGCTACTATTCCCCTGCCCGAGAAGATCACCGGCCAGGCGAATGTGGATGTTACTTGGTGAAGAACCATGAACCCATGTGGACCACGTCAGCCAACGGCCGCACACGTGGCCTGAGTAGCTTTTCACTCTATGACGTTTCGCTTTTTTGAACGAAATGGGGAGTTCATGCCAGGTCTCTTTACTCGCAATATTCTTGGCCCAATGTTTTGAAGGTTTTGAAGCAACAGATGGGGATCGATGCAGGTCCTAAGGACTCTGTGCTTTTCACCCCATGGGTTGTGGGGCTTCGGCTCCTGTCGCTGACGGAGAAGCAGGTGCTCCCGCTCCACCCAAGGTGGACCCGGACCCGGTGGACCCGGAAGAAGAGAACTGGGCTTGGAACAAGACAGTTCTAGAACGATTTACCGTGAAAGGTGTCGATGTACTCGGGGTTGGCAGCTTTAGTGTGGTCAGAAAAGGTGTGGACCTTTCGACCGGACGGGCAGTGGCTGTGAAGGCTCTCAAAGCCAGGGACAACGTTAAATTCCGGAGGGAGGTCTTCCTTTTTGATGCGCTTTTCATGCCAGAAGAGGCAGATTCCAAAGGTGTCAGAGCAATCGAACGGTCGCCTACTGTATTGCTGGGCCAACAGGAGTATAGGAAGTGCAAGAACCCTTTTGCATCTTCCAATCCTCAAGATTTATTTGTACAGCTTCTTGCGCACTCGGAATTGGGCTCCGAGAATGATGATGCATGGAGCATACTGGAGCTTGGCAATCTCACTTTACATGATTTGATCCTCGCCTGCAACGATGCAGAGCGACAAAAGAAAAGGCATTGCCTTCAGAATTCTGAGCAGTTGGCCCGAGCCCTCTTGCATGTGACCTCTGCATTGGCTTTCCTCCACAGCCGCCTCTTTATCCACGGAGACATGAAGCCAGCAAACATCATGTGGTTCGAGCCTTCCAAGAGGTGGAAACTCATCGATATGGATGGTTTGCGAGTGCCTTCGGAGGTGGCTGACATGAAACATGCTGACTTTTACACTGTGATTTATGCTGCCCCAGAGTTGGCCAGAGCAGTTGCTGATGAAGGACCCCTGCGGTTGTCACGTTGCCTGGATGTTTGGTCTGCGGGGCTGTGTGTATTGGAAATGAAGTTGTTGCAGCCGTTGCTGGAGTCGAAATTTCAGAGCTGTTGCGATGACGCGGAAGATGGCGACGGCTTGAATCGTTTTTTTCAGTGGTTGGGCTCTACGGAAGAAGCTCTGGAGCCTGTGAAGCAAATCTCCGAATCCTCGGAAGTGCTGCAGCTGATCGCTGG